TCGAGTGAACAAAATTAACTTTTTGCCCTATCACCAAAAATGATGAGTACAAACGAATTTTCCCGATAAAGAATACAGGTGGTCCTCAACTGATGACCAAAATTTCTGTTGTTAAATGAAAGATTTAAATGAATTTTGCCCCATTTGATGATCTTTCTTGCTACGGCTGTTAAGTGAATCACTGTCATTGATAAGTTAGTAACATGGCTGTTAAGTGAATCTTTGCTTGTCTAAAAGATTGTGCAACTTTGGGACACAGCCATGGCCTTAAGTATGCATCAGTTGTCAACGATCTGAATTTTGATTACGTGATCATGGGGTCGTCACTGTGGGAAATGGTTGTAAGTCACTGTTTACATGCTGTTATAACTTTCAACAGTCACTAAATAAACTATTATAAACAGAGGACTAACTTAATGTAATGAGTCCAGCCGGTTTGGACCAGTTCTGCAGAACCAGTAGTGGAAATTTTGAGTAGTTCAGAGAACCGGCCAATCCCACCTCTGACTGGCCCCACCCCCATCTATTCTCCACCTCCTGAGTCCTAGCTGATCATCTCGGTCTTCTTTGGTTGCCCTGCACAGGAGAACAGAGCTGGAAAGCAGGTTAGTGGGGTGGGGAGGGAATGGGGATTTTGTCGTAACCTTCCTCCAGGAGTGGGGAGGGAATGGAGATTTTGCAGTATCCCTCCCCTGCCGCACCCACCAAGCCATGCTATGCCCACCAAGCCATGCCCACAGAACCGGTAGTAAAAAAAATTTGAATCCCACCACTGAGTGCGTCACAAGACAGCCAACCCCAACAAGTTTAGCTTGTGTATTGAGTACAAGCTAGACAACAATGAGTACCAGCACAAAATGTTGGCTGCGCTGAGTTGGCCATTGCAAGTTGTCCCATTCTTAAAGGTGCATTAGGAGTGATCGAAAATCTCATACAGTTCATCCCTCGTCAAGTTGTCCAATTTCTATTGCTTTTGTTCCATTTCAATGGCATAAGCAGGATTTGATCTGGGTGGTGCGGTGGTGAGAATACCGGATTGCAGGCTAACGCACTGCTCACTCCAGGTGTTCGATTCTCAACAGCTCAATATTGACTCAGACTTCCATTCTTCCGAGTTCAGTAAAATGAGGAGCCAGATTGTTGAGGACAATAGGTTGACTCTGTAAACTGCTTAGAGTGGGTTGTAAATGATTATGAAGCGGTATATAAGCGCTACTGCTATTCCAAAGGAGTCTTTATTTATTTATTTGTTATTTATTTATTTTTGTTAAGCATGCATTTGATTATATGTATAAGTATAAACATGATTATTAATACATGAAATAGATACGAATAAAAGGGGACATTAAGACAGGGACGGTAGGCACGCTGGTGCGCTTATGCACACCCCTTACAGACCTCTTAGGAATGGGGTGAGGTCAACAGCGGACAGTCTAAGGTTAAAGTTTTTGGGGTTTGGGGAAGAAACCACAGAGCCAGGTAGTGCATTCCAGATATTGACCACTGTTGCTGAAATCATAGTTCCTGCAATTGAGTTTTGTGCGGTTTACCCTGAGTTTGTATCTATTGTGTGCTTGTGTATTGTTGAGGTTGAACCTGAAGTAGTCATTAGCTATTTACGTAGTATTTAGTAAATCTTCAAATTTTGCACCAGCTTCCTTTGTAGATATCGTAAAGAGGCATCACACGCGAATTCTTGTCAGAGCTATTCACTGTTCAGAACCTTTTCTTTGGGGTGTATCCTCATCTTATTGTTTTCCAAACTTTCAACTTCTATTGTAAATATTGGATTTTTCTTCTTCTCACTATTTCTAAAAGGTTACCTATTGAAATCTGTAATCCTTTCTGAGATATTTGTTACCAGTATCTCAATCCATTTTTTAAAGGATTCTCTAAGACGAGTAAAAGTTATAGCCAGCTTAGCCATAATTTCCTTTCTGTCTGGTCCTTTAGCTCCCCTTAACGTATATTTGCAACTTTCATCAAGTCTCAGTTCCTAAAATGAATTTATTTCAGTCATTTCTCACAGGTATATTATCTCCCCCCCCCTCAGATCTTACAGCAAAAAGAACCAGCACTCCAAATTTCTTTGGTCTCCCAATGGTTGCAGGAATTGGGGATGTCTAGTCTAGTGAAAAGTAGGGGTGACATGAGAGTCATGTTCCAATATTTGAGGGGCTGCCACAAAGAAGAGGGGGTCAACCTACTCTCCAAAAGACTTCAAGGCAGGACAAGAAACAATGGATGGAAAGTAATCAAGGAGAGAAGCGACCTAGAACTAAGGAGAAGTTTACCGACAGTGAGAACAATCAGTGGAACAGCTTTTCTCCAGTAGTTGTAGTACTAGAAGAGATTGGACAACCATTTGCCTAAAATGGTCTAGGATTTCCTGCTCTAACAGTAGGTTGGACTAGAAGATCTCCATGGTTCCGTCCAACTCTGATGATGTTCTATGTTCTGAATCAGAATCTTTTCTGTTTTTGCTTTTTGCCAGTTTTATATTACTTTGAACTCTTGCATCTGTTTCAAATTCCTTAAATCTTAAGAAACTGAAACTCACCAAGTGTCAAATCAAGCTCACTGCTTTGAAGATCTCATAAATTCCTCGAGTGGTTAAAATGGAGTTTTCCAAATGTGATTAGGAGCAGAGTTTAGTTGACTTAAGGTCTTTATTAAAGGCTCTGCCACTGCTGAGAACAATCAACCTCATCTCTGGTGCTCAGAGCCACAAGAAACTACTACTGTACTACTGTACATGTGCTTGTGTGTGATCTCTCATTCTTTCCTTTTCCAGAATGTTTACAAAGAACTGTTCTATTCACTGGCTCTTCATTCTTCATTCTTAGCTGTCTTCGCCTCCGCTGTTCACTTAGACCAGGGATGGTGAACCTTTTGTTGTGATGTGCCAAAATCGTGTGCGTGTGTGTGCCTGCACCCACAAAGCAATGCACCCTGCCCTCTGTGCATGTGCATGAACAACCCTCCCTTACCTGCACTGTGCATGTGCATGGCTTCCAGCTGATTTTCGGCCCATTTGAGGCCTTTTTCGGCCTCTAGAGGCTCAACGGAAGCCTCTGCAGCCTCAGGAAGCCAAAATACCGGAAGTGCCCATTTTCAGCCTCTGGAAGGCTCTGGAGCCTGGAGAAGGCTGTTTTCGCCCTTCCAGGGGCTTGAGGGAAGCCGCTGCAGCCTTTGGAGGCCGAAAAATGGGACTGTTTCATAATTGTGCCAAAACAGACCCATTTTTCAGCCTCCAAAGGCTCTAAAGGCTGCAGAGGCTTCCCATGAGCCCCTGGGAGGGTGAAAATGGCCTCTACCGGGCTTCAGAGGCCCTCCAGAGGCTGAAAATGGGCATTTTTGGTATGTAACCCATTTGGCCTCCCAAGGCTGCAGAGGCTTCCCTCGAGCCTCTGGGAGCCAAAAAAGGCCTCAAACAGGCCAAAAATCAGCTGGGAGGCATGTGGATGCACAGAGCTGGCTGGGGCTCGCGTACTGGCACAAATGGCTCTGCCTGCCACCTGTGACATGCATGCCATAGGCTCACCATCACAGACTTGATGTCTTCAGTCAGTCATAACTTACCCCGGAATCTTCTCCTTTGTTGTGCAGTTTGCAGCACTTGTCTCCAAACTGTGTTAACTGGCCAGGACACTCTATACAATGGGGCCTCAATTAGAAGGCCAAAATAGCTCCCATTTGCAATAAACTCTTTGACTCCCACTCCCCACTCAGAAGGCTGCTAACCACGTTCTTGGCATGTGTCCATTGCGCAGCTGGAAGCCCCTGTGTCCCATCTTCAAAATCATAATGCGACTTGTCTCACCACAGCCTGGAGCTGATATTTCTTCAGGCAGAAACGGAGTTCTTTGGCAAACCACAGTGAACTGTTCATTGTTTCAAACTACTCCTAAAACTAAAATCTTATGGTATTTCTGGACATCTGCATAACTGGATAGAAGCATTCTTGTCAAACAGACAACAAATGGTCAAAATTGGGAGCGTCCTATCAAATTCTGTACCTGTCAACAGTGGTGTCCCCCAAGGCAGTGGGACCAGCTAGGACCAGCTCTCTTCATACTTTACATAAATGATCTCTGGGATCATATTAAGAGCAACTGCGTTCTTTTCACCGATGATGTAAAGCTATTCACCACCACCGACAATACTGCTACCCTTCAAGAAGACCTCGTCTATGTATCAGAATGATCAAACAAATGGCAACTTCAAATCTCAACAAATAAATCCTCTGTCTTACCTATTGGCAAAAAAAATCAGAAAATAAAATACAAGCTGAATAGTCAAGACCTTGTTGATGATCCAAACTCCGTCAAGGACCTTGGAGTACTCATCTCTAATGATCTAAGTGCTAGAGTCCACTGTAACTACATAGCCAAAAAGTCATTAAGAGTTGTTAACCTAATCTTATGTAGCTTTTTCTTGGGTAATATTACACTAATAACTAGAGCTTACAAAACATTTGCTAGACCAATACTCGAATACAGCTCATCAGTCTGGAACCCCATTATGTATCTGATATTAATACAGTGGAAAAAGTCCAGAAATATTTCACAAGAAGAGTTCTCCACTCCTCTACTCATTGCAGAATACTTTATGCCACCAGACTTGAAATTCTAGACCTAGAAAAACCTACAACTATGCCGCCTTCAGTCCGATCTAAGTATAGTGCATAAAATTATATATTGCAATGTCCTACCTATCAATGAATACTTCAGCTTCAACCATAACAATACAAGAGCACACAATAGATACAAATTCAAGGGCTATTGTTTCTTTTCTTTTTTCTTATATGTATCCATTTCCTGTATTCATAACTATGCTTATAGCTGTTATCTTACAATCGCTTGACAAAATAAAATAAAATAAATAAATAGTTAACCTTAGGCACTGGGGTTACACAAACTCAATATTAATCTCTTGCAGGTGGAATCTCATTTTGTGAAGCTGCCCCACCTTTTCTTTTCATTGTTGTGTCTTTGTAGAAGTTCATCTCTTCAAAGCTCAACGAGTCTGCCTGGATTGGCCTCACGGATGAAAATGTGGAAGGCCACTGGGCCTGGTCGGATGGTTCCAGATTAATAATACAGTGAGTCTCCAGGATATGATCATTTGAAGTCTACCTCTCCAAGCCTTACATCAAACCTGTAGCTTAATTAACTAAACACAGAGTTTATGCATATTTCCTGTTGTAACATGATGCCAGACAAAATCAAGAATATTACGGCTTCATACAATGGCCTGCTTTTACATAGTCTGCTGAAGAAATGGGCTGGAATTCCGGCAGACTGAACCATGAACGATCCAACCTTCCTAATGTTGTGTGAACCCAGTTCATTTGTGCCAATTCTCGGTCCAATGCTTCAGAATGGGGAAAGGTTTTGGCCTCTGTCTTATGGTTGTCCCATGCAATTGGTCCTCCAAATTCTGGGTGAGCCCTCCAAATTCTGGCCAAAGCAGCACATTTTGGCTTGACCTTGCATCTCCAGGGATTCTGCCAATCTTCATTGTGTCAGGATTCTGGCAGTTACCCCCATTTAAAATGGTCTCGAGCCAAACTTCCAAAACTTCAAAAGGATTTATTGGGAGTTAACATGCCGGCATTGCCTGGATGCAGCCGACTCTGAGACACATCATTCATTGTCACCCTTGACACAGGTTTCCCCCCACCCCCTGGGTGTATCATAATCCGTATTCTCCAGTGGGACACCTCCATAGCCAAGAGTCATCAATCATCCTCTCCAGTTAGAATTTTGCATGGCAGAAACTTCAGTCTCCTAGTTACTATCTTTGAAAACATTTATGGAATGTAGTTTTGGTTTTGCAAGCTGCTGCACGGCTCCCCGCTCCCTTTCTGCTGGCAACTCTAAAAAGATCATAGAAATATTTTATGAGTTGACTCCCCCCGGTGAATGACGGGGAGAGAGGCAGCGGTGGGGAGAAAAGCGGCAACTCGCCCCAGACTTCCTCCATTCCTTTTTAACTCCACTTCTACTCTAAGCTGTTATTCCTTTAAACAACTTGGTACTCCTTTGGCTGCATGTAGAAATCCAACTGTCAGTCCTGCCACAACTTGGTCCCTTAAGAAAGAATGACCCTCGACTCCATTCGGCGTGAAAAGGTTTACTTTACTAAAAGGCCAAGTGGATTACAGTATAGCAAAGCCAGAACTGAAGGCCGTGTGCCAAACTTTAAATTATTTTGGCCAATGTCTCTTTGAGGGCAGGCTGGTTGGCGAGCAGTTACATTCCATTCCCAGCCTTTTGACCTTGAGATGGTGTCTCTGGAAGCTACAATGAGTTGTTAGCTTCCCCTCCCCTTCCCAACCGGCTCCCTCCTCCCCATAGTTCGTGGCCGCTAGTGAATGTAAAGGTTGAGCGTTATGTTGGAAGTCAAGACTCCCTCTCTTTCTTCTTAGATACTGGGCCGATGACAATCCCAATGGATCAGTTAGTGGTGAAGAAGCCGATGAAGACTGTGTTGCCCTCAAACCCTCAGGAAGTGATTTGAACTGGATCGATGCCAGTTGCCAAGAACTTAAACGATGGGTTTGTAAGGAGAATATTGAGTTTGAAAACACATACAGTTCATCAACCATGTTAACTGAAACAGGATTGAATGGGAAGAAAAAGGAGAATGATGACTTTTAAAACCAAACTTCATTGGAATTCTATAGCAATCACAAAATAAACAGGCATCTCCAATGATTAAGAGTCTCTGGTATGATACCTATAGAGGCAAGCCACAGGCTCACAACTCACCCACGCATGTAATCACACAAGCAGTGTTCATACAAACATAATGCAGGAGATTGAGCTCAGACTCTTGTTTCCAGAAAAGAAATGTGGGTCAAAGTTGCCTCTTAAGTCAAGTTGCAGCCAACCACTGCACACCAGAACAACTAGACTCAAGGACAGTTTTTTCCCAAACTCCATCACTCTGCTAAACAACTAATTCCCTCAACACTGTCCAACTATTTAATAAGACTGTATTACTATTCTTCTTCTCATCCTTCCTATTAGCTATCTCTTCCCACTGATGACTATAACCGTGTTGCTTGTATCTTTACAATTTATATTGCTTTATTTGTTTCCTAGTATGTTTTGATTGCTTATTAGTAACCTATGACTATCACTAAGTGTTGTATCTTATGATTCTTGATGAATGTATTTTATTTTTTTCTTATGTACACTGAGAGCATATGCACCAAAGACAAAATCATTGAGTGTCCAATCACATTTGACCAATAAAGAATTCTGTTCTACTCTATTCCACTCTACTCTACTCTACTCTACTCTACTCTACTCTACTCTACTCTACTCTACTCCACTCCTCTACTCTACTCTACTCTACTCCACTCCTCTACTCCACTCCACTCCACTCCACTCCACTCCACTCCATTCCATTCCATTCCATTCCATTCCATATTTTCTATCCTATCCTATTCCATTCTAAATTATCCTCAATCAAGAGATTGACTCCCTTGCTTGGCGAGGAGTCTCATTGAATGGCTCTGCTCTGTTCTTCATTATGCTCACTAGATGTGGGAGGTTAGGATGCTGGGCTGACAATTTACAAGCCCAATTTTAAAGCCCGAGTGCTGCTCAGAATTGGGGTGAGCTCCCACCTAGTAGTTTGAAAGTGTACAAACCCAAGTAGATAAATAGATTCTACTTTGGTGGGCTCGTTAATTGGGACACACACAGAACCCCTAACTGGATGTTCCTTGGGCAATGGTGATATTCCTCCGTGCATGGTGTGACCAAAATAAGTCAGGCTTACTGTCCTGACCGTTTGTAAATCAAGGTGGGTGACATTAGCTGATGGATTTGGAGTGAGCGTGGGATTCAAATTGTTTTACCACTGGTTTGGTGGGCGTGGCTTGGTGGGCGTATTTTGCCTAATGTCAGTGCACAGTTTTCCCTCCACCAGCTGAGGCCTGCAGCGCCAATCAACTGAGACGATTAAGACGAGAAAAGCGCAGGGGTAGGTGGGAAAGCCAATCCTGCACTTTTCTCTTCTTTCTCCTCTCAGCTGATAGTCGGAGGATTTTTTTAAACTACCGGTTCAGTTGAACCAGTCTGAACCGGTAACACACCACCACCACCGAGAGTGAGGGTTTTTCACATCTTGAGAGGATTTTCCTTAGCTTTAATTAAGTCACTGGCATTTGCTCTACCGGAGGCTGTCCTCGAAAAGTATCTGGAAACTTCAGCCGGCGCAAAATGCAGCCACATGGGCAACTTTAAGCGTCCAAACAAGGACGTATGTATGTATGTATGTATGTATGTATGTATGTATGTAACAGCTTTCCTTCTCGAGCGGCATTGGGTGCTGGTTTGCTACCACGCGTATCTGTGGAGATTCTCAATCATCCAGGTTGCCTGAAAGGTGCTTTTTCCAAAAGGCGACTGGACTTTCTGGACTTTTTTTCTTAAAAATTGTTTCGCTACTCATCCAAGAAGCTGCTTCTGTTCTGACTGAATGGTGGGGGGAAGGAAGGAATGTTGCTTCCAGGTCCAATTTAAAGTGTTGGTGGGAACCAGGGATGGCTTTCAAAAAATTCAGCGATAGGTTCTCTGCCTGGTTGCTGGGTGGGCGTGGCCATAGTGGGCGTGGCCTAGTCAGCTTCCTGCACCACCGGGAGGGGGGATTTTCACCTTGCCCAGGCTCCAGACAGCCCTTCCAAGGCTCCGTAGGCCCTCTGAAGGCCTGAAACGGGCCAACTTCCGGACTTCCGGAACTTCCGGACTTCCAGAACTTCCGGAAGGCCCATTTTTTGCCCTCCCCCAGTCTTTGCATGGGCCCTGCACTTACCTCGCATCCAAAACGGGCCGCATGGAGACTCCTGGAAGGGGAGGGCTGGTCAGGGCTAGCCAGGGGTAGGATTTGGCAGTTCACCAAAGCAGCCGTAATGTTAGCAATGGGTCCGTCCGAACCCGGGCTAACCCCTAGCAGCCCATGCCTGGGTGTGACTCATGGCATGGGGCCAGGCTACCTACAGAGCCGGCTTCATCCTATCCCATCGGCTATCCTAGCTGGCCACCTAGGGAAGGTGTGTTGCAGATCGGTTAAAGCATAACAATGGTCACGCTCCAGGATGACAGTCCTCACCAGCGTTGTTCCTGACTGTGGAATAAGGGAGGCAGGTCCCCCCACCCTCCTCCTGGCCTTCCAGAAAGGAGACAAAAACGGCTCCGCTGACTTGCATAGGGACCCCCCCTCCTCAATGCATGCCGTCATGGGGCTGTTTAGGACCTGAAAGCCCCACCTTTGCCTCTCTTTATTCATTTTTAACAGAGTTTAATTCTCCTTGTCTCCTTCTAAAACGTTCATTTTGAAGTGTTAATTTGGGGGACACTTTTTCCGTTTTATGTTTTGAGAAATATTTTATTTTAAACAGAATAACAGCATTGGAAGGAACCGTGGAGCTCATCTAGTCTAACCCCCTGCTCAGTCGGGAGAGCCTATCCCATTCCAGATGAGTGGCCTCGGAGAATAGGTTGTCCCACTCCTCTCCATAGGAGACCCTCAGATATTGGAAGACTGCTTTCTAACCAGGTGCTTTTAACCCCTGGACAAAACTGGCTCTCCGTTTCTGTTATTTCTCTCCTCCTCTTTTAGGGCATCGGGCGGTTTCACGTCACTTGTTCTGTCTAGTAAACATTTCAGAATCACTAGGACACATTATTTCTGTCCCACACAGCGTTGCATTCAGAGGAACGGCATTGACCTGCCCACCGAGCAGCCTTTCAAAGGAGCCATTTGTCCGAAATGGTATTAAAGGGTTTCCTGCCTTAGCTGCAGGTTGGACTAGAAGACCTCCAAGGCCCCTTCCAGCTCTATTTTGACTAACCTCTCTTTCTCTCTCTCATCTATAACCTCATACACATATATTTATGTGCCTCCCATCAGCTGCCCTCTGCTGAACTTAGATACTTTAGCACGTCCCTTGCTTTTTGATTTCTACGGAAGCCTGATTAAAAATGGAAACCTGCCATGAAATAAAGAGGTGTTTTTTAAAAAAATAAAATAAAATTCCCAGACCAAAAGCAGTGACTGTACTAATGTTTTTCCATGTGTGGGCTGCTGAGAATGTTAGGTTAAACAAATATTGAGTGGGTGGGTTCTGGAACGTTTGGCATCAAAGGGGAAGTGGGTGGCACCAGTCAGAGGGACGCTGCAGTAAGAAGGTGAAGAAATTGAGGTAAGCTAAATATACCACCGTGTACCCTCATAAGGGATGCGGTGGCTCAGGGGCTAAGGTGCTGAGCTTGTTGACCAGAAAGGTCGGCAGTTTGGCGGTTCGAATCCCCAGCGCCGCATAATGGAGTGAGCTCCTGTTCCTTGTTCCAGCTTCTGCCAACCTAGCAGTTCGAAAGCATTTAAAAAATGCAAGTAGAAAAATAGGGAGCACTTTGGTGGGAAGGGAACAGCGTTCCGTGCGCCTTCGGCATTTAGTCATGCTGGCCACATGACCACGGAGACGTCTTTGGACAGCGCTGGCTCTTCGGCTTTGTAATGGAGATGAGCACCGCCTGCTAGAGCTGGAAATGACTAGCACGTATGTACAAGGGGAACCTTTACCTGTTCTGACCCAAGCCTACACAAACTGGGTAAAAAAGCAAACCTTTTTAAAAGAAACGCTGGGAATTCAATGCACTCCCAAGCCAAGAGACATTTAAACTTAATTGTTCGATCAGGTTTAAAGCAAGCCCTTTCGAGGTTGCAGAAGGCTGCCAAGAACAGAAGACTAATTACTGATTAAATATCCACTGATAGAAGTTTCCAAAACAAACCGGAGTAAGCAGGGCTTCAGTGGAGGACTATGAGTCTAAAGAACTTCTTTGCTTCCTGCAAAGAACACATCCCCGAGGGCTGGTTTTTATCCCTTGTGGGAGGGGCCATCACCTTCCAGCCTTCCTCCTGAGTTGTCCTTGCTGCTTCAGCTACTCTTTCCTTCGAGCAGCCCTGCGCGCACGTGCACTGGGCACAAGCTCCCCGGGGTCCTCTGCATCACTGCTGCCAGATTCCACAAGCTCCAAAGGCAGCACCCCACTCTCCAATAGTCCTGGCCCCACCCCTGCATCACACGCAGGGCCCTTGTCTGAGTCCTCGCTATCAGAGGCCTCTGCTGTCTGCACCTGCTGCCGGCGAACTGCTACATTACCTTTAAGATGTATTTAGAATAACAGAGTTGGAAGAGACCTTGGTGTCAGCCTGAGAAGCCGTTTTTCTTCTCAAGCTTCTAGGCTGCCACATTTAGTGCCTGGGAATTTGGGAGTGGGTTTTTAAGGAGCAGTGGATGATTATCCACAACAACATTCTTTTCTAGGAGAGTCAAGGACAGTTCACCCTGCACCTGGAGGGGAGTAACTGGGGATAGTCTCTGGATGGGAGAACAGCATGATTGGGCCGTGTGATGGACCGATGAAGGCAGGGGATCGATCTTTGATTTTCTTTTGGGGAAGGGAAAACCCAGAACTCTCAAATTTGGGTTTTCCCAGATGTGCCAATATTAGACATCTCTAATAAAGTGAAACTTTGAGAAGATGATTGTCTCAGAGTTGTCTGTCTTGGAGGTTGTTACTTGGAACGCTGACACTTGGAGGCCTTCTAGTACGACACTCTGCTCAGGCAGGAAATCCTA